CTATGGTGTGAATGTTTGTGCCCCCAAATTCATATGTTGAAGCCCTAAACCCCGATGTGATAGTATTTGGAGGTGGTTAGGGTTAGGTGAGGTCATGAGGGTGGAGTCCCCGTGGTGGGAATGATGCTCTTATAAAAACAGGAAGAGACTCAGTCTTGCTCTCTCTCCAAGGAGAGGCCATGTGAGGACATAACCAGGAAGAGGCAGGCCCTCACCAACATCCCAGCTCCACTGGCACCCTGATCTTGAACTTCCACCTCCCAGAACTGTGAGAAATAAATGTCTGTTTTTCAAGCCACCCAGTCTGCGGTGTTTGTGACAGCAGCCTGAGGTTGTAGCTGCTCTGTAAACAAATATAGCAGGAAGGGAGAAGGGAGCCCAGGGTGGGCATGGGGAGGAACTCTGAGAGCCGTCACCCTGCAGGGATGACATTGGAATGAAGTCCGGAAGGAGGTTCAGGAGGAGTCGTGCAGATACCTCAGGGAAGAGAGAAACAGCATGTGCAAAGGTCCTGGGGTGGGATCTGTAGAGCTTAAGGAGCAGGTGTGCCTGAAGGGAGGGCAGAGGGAAAGCCAGGGAGATGACTTTCCTTTTGCGCCTTCTCCTTTGCATCCCACACCCTCACCCTAATCCTCTCGGATTTTGTTAGCGGCTGAGGACAGTGCGTGGGGCTGGCCACCCTCTCCGAGGGTCACAGGCCGTCACACGGTCATCTCCCCGTCAGGCTGCGGCTGGCCGCGCCGAGCCCTGACCGCACCTTCGGTGCCGCAGGAGGAGCTTAATGCGGGTGAGCTCAGCCCGCTTCTCACACTCCGCTGCGTTAGAGGCACTGAAACGTCTACAGCTTCACTAGCGGGACTTGGCGCACAGCAGCCACCCATTTAAAGTGCACGCGCGGTGAGTGTTCACAGCCCGGAAGCCGCCTCGCCTTCCAGACAGTGAGCACCTCCGGGCCCCAAAGGACCCTCCCGCCCTTGGTGGGCTCCCCCCTCTCCCCCGGCCCGGCAGCCCTGAGGGTGTCAGGAGGCTGCACTTTCTAGGGATTGAGTTTGATCTAAACGGGACCGGAGACTATTCTCTTCTTTTTCGTCTGGCTTCTCTCCGGGAGCAAAACCATTATGAATATTCGTTTATGTTGTGACGTTTCTTTGAGCCCCCCGTTTGCTTATGGGGAAACTGAGGCACACGGAGGGGGAATGAGAGGCGGGGAGGGGAGGGGCGTCACGCACAGGTCTGCCCCGCCCGGGCCCGGAGGGGCGGAGGGCGC